CCCCAAAACCCCAAAACCCCAAAACCCCATTAGCTTAAATATTTAAATTTTAGAGCTGAGAAATAATCTACCATAATCTAAATAATTCAGCTTAATTAAAATTTGAATTGAGGATTCGCTTATTTAACGAAAGACTTATTTTGCAAAATCTTTTGATTGAAATCTACTATCTTCATTTTACCATAACCTGTTAATGTTATCTCTTTGGCAAATACCCATTGATATTTATCACCTTAACATTTAATCAAAAGCATATCTTTGAACTTAGAGCTATTTATATATAATGAACCAGCTGGTATATCATTCACATCTTTTAATTGCCCATTCAAAATTTCATCAATATGAACTGAGGGAACCATTTTCAATTGATCGAAGTAAACTGGAGTTTAATTGAAAGGTTTATCTTCAAAACCCTTTAATAAAATTGCTTTAGGTCTTGTATTTGAATCATACAAGGCATTGAACTTGACTTGCATTGACAAAGCGTCCAATTCTTAAAATTCCATTAGCCCGAATTCACTTGGAATCATCTTTGCAGATGTGACTTTTGTGGGATCTTAGATTATAGCGTTTTCTTTATGTTTTTCTAAATTACTTAGAACTTCTAGCATTCCAATTCCTCCTTATTCAGCTAGCAACTATGACAATGGTCCAAACTAAGTACTTTCATCAATTTAACATTTATACTGCCAAAGTATAGCTCCTGCATCAAACTTATTTTTTGATATTTCAATAATGCTAACTCCAGTTTCCTTTTCTCGATTAAGAATTGCATGCTGAATAGGACATGCTCCTCTATACTTTGGCAAGAGTGATGGATGAATAACATACATTCCTTTATCAAATTTATCTATAATTTTGTCTGGAATCATATGCCCAAACGAAGCCACCACTCCATAATCCTAAGGTTATTCAATTAGCTTTTACTCTAGAGTTTCGAAATCTGTTTTATCTTGGAACACTTAAAATATTGGAATGCTGTTTTGCTTTATGAATTCATGATAGGTTGCTAAAGGAGTTCTTGGTTTTTTGTTTGGCGGAATAACTAAACTATGCTTTAGTGTCGCTTATTTAATCATTTATTTAAGTACTGTTTTAGATATCAAATCTGAGCCAAAAAATAATACTTTCCCTGACATTACCAATTATAATAATATTATATGTGGAGTGAATTAATTATTATTTTACATGATGAAAGTTATTATTCATCATTTGGGGTTTTGGGGTTTTGGGGTTTTGGGGTTTTGGGG